GACAACAAGATCCACGCTAACAATTGCATGTACAACAGGGATAGCAAATGGTCCCTAGTGGGCGAGGGTCCTGATGAAGTGAGTGTAAATAAACTCATCATAGATACCAGGATTGAAATTTTGTATTTGCGCCAGACGTGCGTTTCGTCTACAAAAGACTCATCAGTGACTCTCGAATAAAAAAAAGTTAAAAAGGCCAAATAAAGTACGAAGTTGAAGAGCATTGAGGACCAAAAATTCCTAAGTTTTGCCGAATACAGCTAGGGTAATCTATTCCTGAGGTAGAAAAGCCTTAGTTTTTCAAAAATTCAAAGTTTTGTAAACAGTTAATTTATAATTATGACCATATCAATGATAATTCATGTCAACACAGAAGTGCTGACTACTGGGCTGGTGATACCCTCGGGGAATAAAAACTCCACCAGCAGTGGCATCGACCCAGTGGTTGTAAATAAACTCATCATAGATACCAGGATTGAAATGTTGTATTTGCGCCAGACGCGCGTTTCGTCTACAAAAGACTCATCAGTGACGCTCGAATCAAAAAAAGTTAAAAAAGCCAAATAAAGTACGAAGTTGAAGAGCATTGAGGACCAAAAATTCCTAAAAGTTTTGCCGAATACAGCTAAGGTAAAATAACTTTGACTGTGAGCATTTGGTATCAATTAGGGCCTTTTTGACTTGTAGATTTCAATTAACCCGAAAAATGTACATATTTTAAGGAACCGACCGACCATTCAGTATCTTTTGTGAGGGAGGGCATGTTTTTTCTTAATTGTTTGAAAAATTTTTGATTCATAAATAAAGCCCAAAACAAGTGTTTAATTTGAACGCTATGTACCTGATGAATAAATACTTTTTTCTAAGAAAAATATTATTTTCTTGAAAAAATTTTAAAAAATTGGCTTCTGCTAACTACCTAAAACCTATTTTTTTCTTTTGTTTTTATTGGAAAAAAATAAACTAGAAAAAAACTATGCCCAGCATAGGCTCACACCGAACAGCAAGATATAGAAGGGCCCCAAAATGACTAGTGTAAAATAATTCAAACAGGAAAACCAACGGTCTAATCTATATAAAAAAACGAGAAACAAGAAACACTTATAAACCACACCAACAAACGACAACCAGTGAACAACAGATTCCTGACTTAGGACAAGTGCAAACAAATGCAGCGGGTTTAAAAGTTTTAACAGGCGCCTACCTTTACCCTAACCTGAAAAAGTAGTGTAACATTACCACAGAAAGACACACTATAAAGTATCAATTGAAATGGCTTAACTTAATCAAAAAGACATATTAACAAAAACAAGTAAACATACACTAAACGAATAAATTTGATCTATGACACAATATAAATACAATAGTAAATAAAAAAAGGGGGAGAGATATAAAACAATGTTAAAAAGACAACTATAACGTTGGACAAAATGGCGGTAAATAAAATAACGTACACAGGTATTGAAATAAAATAATTTTGTGGTTAGGAGTACGGAAATATTTTTTGACAAAATAAATAAATTTGTTGTTCATAGTACGAGAACAGAAGTGAAAATTTATCGTCATACTAAATACTTATTAAAGGGGTGGTACATAATAAAATTAGTGAGACGAGATATAACACAAAATAGGTAATCATTGAATAACAAAATTCATTACAAATTGTGTCAACAGGTCAAATTAACACGAAATTACGATTTGAGAGTATTCGCAGTTACTTAAAGCTAGTTAAAAGCCAAAAACAATAATAAAAAATCATGCATCAGAGACTAAAATCAACTAAAACACATCCCAGGGGTTTTAACGCCATGGACATTCAAAGAAGACATAACTTGTGCAATGCAAAAATAAATGTATCCACAGGCAGTAGTAAATATGTATTATGTTATTTAAGGAATGACTGTAATATTTTTTTCTGTCTATGAAGTAATAACATCAAAAATGTGGTGCACACTGAATAACCCGCGTAGTTATTTAAAAGTGTGCACATTTTTAAGGTTATTTCGAATAGACAGAAAAAATATTACAGTCATTCCTTACAATTCAATTCTAAAAAGGCGTAAATCATGATAAAAACGTTGATAACGTCACGGTCACATCATCGTGACATGACAGAATTATGTCTATGAGCTGATAGACAAAACACTTTCAGCCAATCAGAAGACGTGTTACATCTAAAATTAAATTATATATAGATAAAGCAATCTCTATCTAAATAAGTTAGTATATATTACAGCTTTTCTATAAAAGCATGCAAAGCAAACCTTTGTTCAACTTGCTTGCTATGTTTGTTTGTTTGTAAACAACAGGTAGGTAGTCTATTTCAGTCTGTTTACTATATACTGGAATTGGATTTGACAATTGAATAAACATTAACTTCATTTAAATGTTAAGTTTTACATTGTATGTCAAGTGTTATTCTCCAATCAAATACCAGTATATATTAAACAGACTGAAACGCCGCCTACCCTTTTGTTTACAAACATCCAAGCAAACATAGCAAGCAAGTCTATCAAAGGTTTGCTTTGCATGCTTTTATAGAAAAGCTGTAAAGATGTGATTAAAATCACAGTCGTAAATGCGTCAGATATTTGTCAAATCTATTTAAACTCTATGAAATAGCGTATCATAGCTATAGGTCTTTTTTTCCGAAAAATATATGATGGGGTATTTATTTCACAATATTCAAAAATACATGTATTTATGAAAAGTGTGGCGTACTGGATATCTCAGCTGTTTAATCCTACCACTGAAGCATTGATGCCCCCTCAGCCATAGTCATCTTGTAATCCCAGAAGATGTGATCAGAGGTGGTGTCAAACGTATTTCTAGACTCGTATACGAGAAAAGAAGCAGTGTCTAAAAGTCTTTGAGAATGCAATCCTTGCAGTAACGTATTCTCATCATATATAAAAGCGCACAAACTACTCTATATAGGTGGCGTATTTATTAATATTAGAAAGTGATTTTTTAATATTAAAAAAAAATCAACCTGAATATTTAATATTAAATATTCATTTTTTTAATACTGAAAAATAAAACCATTTATTAATATTAGAAAATGATTTATTAATGTTCAAAAATGATTTTTTAATATTAATGAATATGATTTATTTTTTAATATTAAAAATGATTCTTAATATCAATCAATAGAATATTTAATATTAAAAAATAAAACCTATTTATTAATATTAAAAAATATGTATTAATATTAAAAAATCGATTTATTTATATTAAAAAATAATTTTTAATATTAATAAATGATTTTTTACTATTCCACTACTGCTTGCCAAAATCCTTATCATATTAAGGTATAAATGCATTTTCCAGTATGCACTTTTTTGTAGTATTTTTTTAACATTTGCATATCCATATAGCATTTGATGAAAAAAAATACATGTAGATAAATCAAATCGCTTTATTTTATATGAAAAATAAATCTTTTTAGAAAATAAACATAGTTTCAGTTGTTACAATCATTCCACTTTTTCCTATATATACACACTCAGAATGAGAGCTATATTTTGTGTCATTTTTATGATGCATATTATATTGAAAAAATAATAAGAAATACAAGAAAAGCAGTTCTTCTTTCACGTATGCTAAATGCTGATCATCAGAATTAATATTTATGAATTATTGTCTCATGCAAAATGGCGTTACAGAAAGCGGATTTATCTTTTTCATCACAGTTGTAATGTATCATTCAACAATGAAAGCAAGATATTACGAAACATGCAATGAACACAAGCGAATGAAGGGTAACTCGCATCCTTCATTGTAACTAAATCCAATTAAACTGCTTGATGAAACAAGAAAAAAAAGACGAGATTTGTCTCTAATTGCTTAACTCTACTTCATTTGAACTGGTTGGATAGTTGTCTCATTGGCAATCATACGACATTTCCTTATTTTTATAAGAAAAAGAAGCCGAAGACCCAGCATATACATGAATGCAGCCGGACTTGAGTGGGCACCTTAAAGGCTATAACTGTCAATTTCTTCAAATTTCTTGAAAGAGTCATAAACATGTAACATGTATAAAATTGGTAAGTTAAGTGAAATTCCTTCTATCGTAAATGCAGGCCGTCGAATTAGAAATATGTCTCGGTATTTTGAATTTTCGATTAATAGGGTTTTTCTGTATTTCTGTCCGGCTGTTTCTTACAATTTTCTATAAGTTAGAAAATTCTTACCAAGGTGTTTGTGTTTGTTTGCGTATTCGGTTAATCAAAAATTTTGAATCCTCTGTAATTGAATTAGGTGGTCAATTCACTGTCTGTATGAACCTGTCCCAAGTCAGGAGCCTGTAATTCAGTGGTTGTTGTTTGTTGCTGTATATTGTATTTGTTTTTCGTTTGTTACTTTATACATAAATCAGACCGTTAATTTTCTCGTTTGAATTGTTTTACATTTTTCATTACGGGGCCCTTAATAACTGACTGTTTAGTATAAGGTTTAGCTCATTGTTGATGGCCGTACGGGGACCTATAGTTGTTAACTTCGATATCATTTGGTCTCTTGTGGATATTTGTTTCATTGGCAATCATACCACATCTTTTTATTTTTATATAAAAAAATATATCGTGCGCACTTTGATCTAGATCATACATTTGCACTGAAATAGTTTTCAATCATTTCCCATAGAGCATGTAGAGGTCATTTCCGACTAAGACTTGTGTCATTTCGTTGCTACGCTTGGTGCCCATTTATTGACGAAGCTGCACCAGGAACGATCAGAGCAGACACTTTGGCAAACAGATAAGCAGCGCACGCCATCAATATTTCTATAAGCAAAATTAAAATCTGACAACATAATCGACATTTTCAACGTATTGAAAATAACAAGCCTCGCTATCATTTAAAATCATAAATTCATTAAGGTGATCTTTTTGTGAATCAGTATCATGTTCATGTGAGAGTAAAATATATCTTCAGTTATGAAAATACACAAATTTCTCAACACTCGAGTAACTACTTAAATTTGTAAATGATGTCAATTATATGCCAGATTCCTCATTGTTAGTGTTCTTGTCACTTGGTTCGTCTTCATCACTGTCAGTTAACGGTTCAATTTTCTGTGAAGTGTCAACTTCTGCATAAATAGTCCGGTTTTCAAGTCCACGAATAACAAATTTCGGGCCTATTGTAGATTTACTGAAGACAAGATCTGCATACTGAAGTCCATCTTTGTTCAAATTCTGAAAGTTGAAAATCATATTGTGTTTTAAATGCTGTGGTAAGAAATATACAGATGGGTCAGGTGTGCATGGCATTCCCATCTTATCGATATTGAAATTATTGAAATGGAATATTTAGAAAGCATCTGATCAAAAGTCAGGAAAAACCCATAGAAAAACTACATTAGGATAATATGCCTTCAATATGACCGTTAACGACAAAGAAGAAATATTTCAAAACGGAAGACGCCTACATTCACTCATCACAACATCAGTGTCTTGTTAGTATCTTGATCCAAGCATACACGAGCTAGTGCCTGGCACACGGTTAAAAGTACCTTATCTCGGGAATAAAAAATCGAAAATTTTATCATTTCCAACGAGTGTGTACATTTGCAATGTGAACATTGACTTAAGTATAACAAACTAAGGAAAGGTTTATACTATTAATAAAAACCTGTGCCACTCACATTGCCTATATATATATAAGGTCTATGAGTCAAACTCAACGATGGACTCTCTCCAACATTTTGGACTAGAACAGAATTCATGACAAAAACCTTTATTTTTGTTGATCATTTGTTTTTGTTTACAGTTTCTCTCTAATATCTTCATAGACATAAGAAGATGTGGTATGAGTGCCAATGAGACAACTCTCCATCCAAGTCACAATATGAAAAAGTAAACCATTATAGGTTAAAGTACGGCCGTCAACACGGATCCCTAGCTCACACCGAACAGCAAGCTTTGAAGGGCCCCAAAAATGACTAGTGTAAAACCATTCAAACAGGGAAACCAACGGTCTAATCTATATAAAACACGAGAAACGAGTGACACTTATGAACCACATCAACAACCGACAACCACTGAACAACAGGTTCCTGACTTCGGAAAAACAAAAGCAGAGGGTTTAAACGTTTTAACAGGCGCTAATCTCCACCTTAACCCGAAATTATAGTGTAACATCACAACATGAATTCAGTTTTAGCCCAAAACGCAAGAAAAAAGTTAAAAGACAAATTGAAGAGCATCGAGGGCAAAAAATTCCGAAAGTTTTGCCAAATACAGCTGAGATAAGCCTATTTTTTTTTGAACGATTCAAAAGATCCAGTCATTTGTAAAAGTGGGGTCCAAACCAGGATAAAAAAGGGTTCCAACCATATGTTCCCATTCAAAAGCATTGGTCGTCAAAAAAGGGGGTTCCCAACCCCCGGAACCCCCTGGATCTGCCACTGAGTAAATTTACAAATACATTGTACATATTGTATGACAATATCAATGTTAATTCATGTCAATAATGTCAACTTCCGGTCTTATACCTTCTTACTATCTTTGTTTTCAATTGGTTATAATATGAAATTAAAAGTACTTGAATTATTTTGTTAAAATGTATAAAAACAAAACCTGTTTTGATGATTCTTTACGACTTGCTTCTTGGACATCCTCATTTTTGTTAATATTTTTGTTATTTTTCTTTGCTTTTCCATTGTCTATTTTTGTTTTATTTTCCATGATACTGACTCCATCTTGGCCTTGTAAAGAAGATAAAAAGTACATGATTAATGATCTAATAGGTTTAAGATTTCAATACGCAGTTATTCATCAAATTGATGAAATCTGACACAATACGCGTGGCCTTATCTTCCACAGAATGAAGATACACTTGTAGATCCTATCACTTCAACGAGCAATTCGATTGTGATATACTTTTTTCACTTAGCACAAGTAATATTTTAAATTTAGAACGCTCGCAGTTACTGAAGGCAAGCTCAAAGTACCTGAGCTAATCATACGAAATCGTATTGTCCCACATTCCAATCAATAGACGACAACATTCGTTCACCTATAAGCGGAATAACCAAGGGCATTCGGTTAAGCAAAAGTAGTTACGCAGTGGAATTTTTCGGAATTAAAGAAGACTGAGACTTGATGAAGCATGATATATTTTCGACGACCTTAATGAATTTTGGCATATAATTCAAAGTATTTTCCAAAGCTGAACAATCACTCAATTAAATCAAAATATGCTTTTTACGAGTCTTAAGACATTTCACGGCAAATTTCTTTAACACTTGTGTTATGACTTAAGACGGGGGTTGTCATCGCGAATTCCCGAAAAAATACAATAAAGCGTTCTTTCCAGGATCCCGAAAAATAAATCTTCAATTCTTGAGTCCCAATAGGTTGGAATTCAATCTTCCCGAAAAAAACATTCCGACGTCCTTCCGCTCCTCCCGGAGAAATAAGCTTACTTACATGGAGATATCCGTATTTCAATGATACTTTTATGCACAACATGAGCTAATTTGAAGCATGAAATATGGAATAAACGATCTTCTCTTGTTTCATGTTATGTGTTATCCGCTGATGGTTTCTGAGTAGTCTAGTAATATCGAATAGACGTATACGCCGTATATATTTTTATTGGCCTTTTATTAGAAACTGCATGATTTCTTCGATTTGTCCTTGTTTGTTTCGAAGCCAGTTAATGGTTTAAGTGCATGCTCATCGTCAACTTTCTACATTGACATGTACTCCATGCATCCCATTATTTTCAACAAAAGGTACTAGTAATGCAAATATAAAATGAAGAACACATGACAAATTATCTCGTTAATTCCAGATACTTGTATAAACAGTTTATTAAGGCGTTAAATACTGGTTAAATCATCTATAGAAAGCAATGTAATTGTCCTTTACCTGTTTTCTTCTGAACGACATTGTAAAGTGCTGTTTCTTGAAATGCAGAGTTGTCGGTTCCATGTTTGTTTTGTCTTTTCTTATCATTAACTTCGTATCCAACTTTACTGGTTTCTTGAACTAAATCGCTCCCCGCAGATTCGTAAAGTATATTGTCTTTAAGACCTTCTACGTTTGTAAAAAAGAAATGTTAAAATATATATGATACGTAAACTCAATGATATCCCTTTTATAATTAAGTGCAAAGAAAGGTCTGAATCTATCATTTGAATCCGATATACGCGATAGCAGTTTCTGCGCTTCATACACCATGAGCTTCGGTCAACGCTTTTACACCCAAATATAATACAAAAAGAAGTATTCAATTTCTAAATAATAGAACACCGTGAATTTTTGTGTGCACACCAAATTGTTATTTCTATTTTCTGTGGACTGTTGCCTAAACACTTCTCAAATTTTGTCACAAAGGTCACGAACATTTCAAATTTGGCTCTTTTATGCTCATAGAGATCTAATTTCTATTGTTGCATAGAACTTTGCCTATGAACATACAAACATAGCCAAATATTATAAGAAAACGTCCTTGTTGTTAAGAATTCTTTAAACTCGGCAACACCGTATAGCGGTTCATTTTAATAATGTGTTCTAGTAACGAGCTACCAGTCACAAGTTCAACCAAAAAGGATATCACTTAAACTTATTATTTAATTCAATAAAGCAAATTAACATTAGTGGGGAAAAGTGTAAAATGCTTCTGAACTGGAATTGTGTTGTACTATGACGCTCCAAAGTCACCTACAGCACGCTCACTTGTGTTCATAGAAAATGATCAAATTTAAAACAAGGGATTGCATTTCTCACATCATTGAAAATATAAACTTTATTCAATTTTCTAAAATGCAAGAATATATATTTTTTTATTGAAATTTTAGCAGTATATTGAAAAAGCACTGTTTGTTTCCGCAAGACATATAATTTACTATGATCATGTTTAGCAGAAATGATGTTTCAGTTTGATGTCTTCGTCCTTATATAAGCTAGTGGATTATGTGTTGTTGTTTAAATGTACACAGTTATAAATTCATTACATAGTAAATCTTAAGTATTGTACTACCATTCATTTATTATGTCTTTATCAACTGCTTTGCGTATATTCAACTAACCACTAAATAATTTAATTGTATTCGAATACTCCAATTGCTCGATTATTACACTTAAGAGATACGTATCAATAAATTTAGTTCTCTCGTCCTTGATTCAAACCCTTGGCCTATTTGTCAATAGACAATATGAAAATATTTCATTGAATATAACGTTTAATCACACTTTTGATTTATGCATTGAATGAAAATAGTTATATGATAACATTTTTAGAAACAAAGATACATACCATCTGCATATTCGGGTTCATCAGCTAGGGCCATTCTTGAAAAAAAAAACAACACCAGAATATATCATTCGTTAAATCTACCAAACACAAAGAGAAAAAACAAACACGTAAACTCTCCTTTTTTTGTCAGAATATCGTCCTAATAAAATTGATACATGAGCATTTATTTTATGCAGTAATCCTTGATAAAATGGCGAAAGACATTGCAAGTAAGATACACATAGATGGGAGGTGTAAGAATGGATGAAACATGTCGAAACCTACATTGTATCTCACAAAATCACAAAGTGTTTATAACATTGTATAACAGTAACGCAAAATATATGTTCATCATATTTTTAACAAGACTTTATACATCATCTTTGAATTGCAATTTTTTCAAAAAAAGACTTGTTAAGGAATCCCCTGACTAACACAAGTACCCCATATATAAATTTGAAAGAATGAATAAGGACAAAAATAACATAAAGTACTATTTGTTTTCAGTTTTCTTTTGAAAATATAAAATACAACTCGAAACTGAATGATAATTGATTTGCCTCTTCTGAAGCTAAAAAAGCTCATTATCAAATTGCAATACAAATAGGTTTAATTAGACAGACAAATTCATTATTTTCTGCTAAGCTACTTTTCTGCAACCTTTAACGATAATTAATTCAAATAATCCAAAAAGTTAAATGATACCAGACTCATGTGTTGGATCATTGAGACACCGATTCATTAAATTTAGGTTGAAGCGATCCTATGATTTTTTCAAAAGAGTTTTTGCATATATTGTTTTAAATTTCAAACAACTATTTTATTAAAACATCCAATAAATGCTTCATAAGGGATATCGTTTTATTTTAAATTTGCAGATTAATTGGTTGTTGCTTGCTTAGAAGGGTCTGTTGAAGTAGGGTTGCAGGAATGAGACACTGATAAATGGAACCCTGAAAAGCAGCAAACCGAAAGCTGTTTTTTTAATCATGTTTTAAAGAACCATATATTATCAGAAATAGCTTTAATTGGACCTTCTTATGACACCAGAAGTGATTTTATGAATAAAGAATAAAATAATTTGTACGTTGCTATTTACTTAATACGTTTTATCATACTTTAAGACCATTTCTCTTTTTCTTTTTTGGTTATGGAATTGTCTGTTGATTATTTTTATGGTTTTTATAGCACCTCTGGTATATTCTACCTCTTATCACTGACACTTGTCTTGTCCTTTGATTTTCAAACGTCTCAGAAATATATAAAACATGTTTACAACTGCCATTAACTTACCAACCTAAATGTTAAATTTAATTGTCTGATTTAATTTCTAACTTATTCTGATTTGAAAACATATTGAATTAGAAAAGAACTTAACTTACCTTTCATTACGTTCAGATCTTTTTCCTAAAAAATCAAATGAGAGAGTAAATATAACATGAAATTACGTCATTATTGCTAAGGTATATGTGATAAATAAACTTATATCTAATGTAGTCGCCTTAACAATGGTGAACTCAATACCGTAACACTGCTTTATTTCCCCTTTTATTGAGAAGTAAGTGAAAGCATAGCATATCATACTCTTGTATGTATTCTTCTAGGAACCACTGACATTTGAATCCTTACCAAGAATTTGGAAGACAAGTTATCATATTGTATCTGCGTTTATAATACTTGAAAGATTTACATGTGACAAGTATTTTATTTTCTTCTGACTACTTGCTAATAAATGGATATCTGGAACGCCAGACATAAGATTCATCAGTGGCGTTCGAAGCAAAAGAGTTGTAAAGCCAAATCAAATATTACGAAGTTGAAGAGCATTTATCTAATTAACCGAAAATCCTGAAAGGTTGTACCAAATACGGCTACGACAATTGTACCTTAAAGATAGAATTCAAGTCATCTGTTTAATTACAATGTGAAGTATAAAATTGCCAGTGACACTACAAGAATTGTTAGTACCTTGAAATTTCTTGCGGCGCAAATATAGTACCACAACAACAAAACCAATGGAAAGAACTGCTGTAAATGTTCCGATGGATGCGCCCATATAAAGTCCAATATTTGATTCGTCCTCAATTGCTGAAAGTGAAAAAATGCGATTGTTTCAACATCCCTTAATATGAACATAGTACTGTAAATAATAACAATAACATTTTTGCAATGTGGTGAACATTGAATGCACTATCTGTAACAAGTCATCGCTCCTAAAGACTTCGAAATAAAGAGCTAAATAGTAATGCCTCTGAAACATGTATACATTCCAATTATTTTGCAATAAGTGACGACAGTTATAACCCAACAGTCATTTACTGGATGTCCCATCGGACCATATTTCCCCAATGAAATCAATGTATAATAGCTGAATTTGCAACGAATTACAAAAACCCAAACGTTTAATAAATTAGTAGTACTTAAAAAAAATGTTTTGCAGAAAACGGACCAATATGATTTATGAATATTTGCTTGGTAGAGGGTTGCTGCCTGCAACAAAATGCAACTTAACATCGGATTTTCACAATTAACCAATAAAATGGGTTTAATTTGTAGAGTAGAAATAGCTAACTCTTCCGAAGCATATGAGTTGACCGCTGGTTGTTTGATGGATTTTTGTACATCAATAATACCAAAACATCATTAATGTGTAAAACATTTAAGAAAAGTGACGGTTTTATAATCATAATATCGAATCCATCTAATATACGAAACAGTTTTACATATGTTTTATTTGAAATCATTAAATTGTCTTTTTGAAATTCACTCAGTGATAACTTTAACATGTCGAAATATTTAGTTATTTGAAAGAAAAAAAAAACTGCCTGGTGAGAATTATTAGTGAAATCTGTCAAACCTAATCTTTTTATACGGATAGTCAATATATATTTAAACAAACTTGTATAGAATAGAAAACCGTAAACTTTCATATATTACTCAAAACACTTCTTTCTGAATTTCTATATGTAAGAACGATGTTGCTTTTCTGCTTAGTAGCATAAAACGATACCTGTTTTAGTTGTATTACAATATGCTTTAATAAAATGTGAATCTCCAAAGGTGTTATATGCGATGAGTTTGAAGGAATACGATGTTGCAGGTAGTAAGCCAATAATTCTTTCCAAGTTGTTTTTTATATCCATCCGATGCTTTATAAACACAATTTGTCTATCTTGAACTGCATAAAATAGTTTGAATTGTTGTGTATCTCCACCATCAAATGAAGGTATCCATTTCAAATTTGCAGAATCGGGTGCGTCGCATGACGCACTGAAATTTGTAGGTATATCAGGCTGTCCTGTAATATAGAAAAATAATTTGATATGCATTGCTGTCAATTGAATTGAATGTAGTCTTAATTCATAGGCTCTGTTTTAACTGGATAGTCTACAATTTACATATATTGAATTAAAGAATGCGACATATCAAAACGAGGCAACACTTGAATATCCTGGTGATAAATTTCAACCTGAATTATTTTTTTGTCTTAGCAGACTTATCAGTTTATTGAAATGTAGACCTTTTTTTTATAGGTTTAAAGGTTTTTTTTCCAGATATCCACAGTTCTGTTCCAATATTGCTTGCAATTAAGTTAAAATTATTCAGTAATATAGACCTTTTAGTATGTAATGTTTTAACAGGCATATACAAGATTCTTAACACTGAAAAATACATTACGATCTTAGTTGTACATGAACAGTACCAATTTGATTGAATATTAAAAAATTTAATGAACGATGGAATTTGTTGTTTTTCTATATATCTGATTATTCCTTTGCATGCTGAAACTTTGCCTACTACTGGTCTTATCCACAATAACCTTTCGAAGTTCTTTTTCTGACACTTCCAAGAACACCACCCACTTCATATTGTTTCATTTATTACATCCTTACTTGAGTGTTGTCGACAGTCTCTCATGAACGAGTATTCTTTCACCCTATCGTCACTATGACAACTGCTTTTGACACCATTTGTACATAATACATTTAATATGTCAAAAATAGTCACCTAGTATAAAAGTTTATACTAAGATGTTAGCAAAATCTATAAGGCCAACATCCAAAAAAATCTCGAATCAGTGCGAATTAATATATGTATCCTTTCTTACTTCTACCAACTTTATTTTTGTTTTTGGTTAAGCGTGTCCTTTTTATACACCAATAAAATAACAAAAATACCGAATTTCAAGGAAAATTCAAAACGGAAAGTCCTTCATCAAATGATAAAATCAAAAGTTCAAACACATCAGACGAATAGAAAACAACTGTCATATTCCTGACTTGGAAATGGCATTTCCTTGTGTATAAATGGTGGATCAAACCTGTTTTTTAGCTAGCTAAACTTCTTTATTTGTATGCCTGTCGCATAGAATTTGAGGCTACCATCTGGTGTTTATAATTTTTTGATCTGTTCAGAAATAAGTCACAATATTGTTCAAGTTACACTACTAGAGCTGTTAAACTGCGAAGCTTTAAAACGTGCGAAAAATAGTCAAGGTGAAATGAATCAGCCCTGTTTGCCTATTGCTGTATTACTTACGTTGTGGCACCACCTCAAAGGGGTGCTTGAAATCATCTGGAATTCCATTTGTTACTTTCAGAACGTAACTACCGTACTGAGATGTCTTTATATCAGTAATATGAATTGATGATATATGTTGATTAATGCCAATTGTATCATTTGACCTCACTATTTCATTGGAACCATTTTTACTAAAAGTCCAAGATATATTTGGCTGTGGGTAAGAAAAAAATGTCACATTTATTTCCAAAATACTGTCATTGCCGACTGCAATTTTTGATGGTAGGTCAACGACTGGTCTAGGTGAACCTAAAACAATATTAAGATATCAAATTTTGTTTTAGAAAGAACTAAAATGTCGAAGTACAAACAGATACATTAAGCATTCATATTGCAATGGAATAGTAAGTGACGGAAAGAATTTTGTAAAATTTAAACTAGTCCGTAGTCGTATACTAAATTTCAAACAAAATTTCGTAAATAAACAGTTACTACTAATTCAATGTTGCATAGTACTTTTATCATTATAAGGCAATCAAAAGAGTTTAAATGGATCACTGAGAAAGAGAATAAAATTGTCAAAACTGTTGAGGTATATCTGACGGCGTTTAAATAAATTAATTATTTCGTCTGTTAGTTACTCTCTTTCTGTCTTCTGTCTTAATATGAATAAATTAAAAGCCTTATCACTACACAGTCATAAAAAACACATTACTTACACAATACAAACAGTTCTTTAGTTTGATTTGCCTTTCCTCCGGAATTCTCTGCTGCACATGTATAATTTCCAGTATCATTACACGAAGTAACCATCACGTAAACAATTGGATTTTCTGTACTTAGTTTCTTTTCTTCATTATAAATCAAGCTTCCATTAGGCTTAGGAACACCATCAATTTCACAGGTAAGTCGTGTTTCTACATTTTCAGGAATTTTAAAATTTCCACCGTTGATAGTAATGTCTTTGATTTCTGCACCATCTACGATTTAGAAAAATAAATAGATAAAGTAGTGTATTATTACATACATATATGATTATATAAATATGTAAACATTAACCTAGAATTGCGCGATGTATATAAAAACAAAACATATATATATATATAAATCAATTTAGACTGTTGTTGAAACACGCCGATTAAATAAAGATTCCACTTGAAATCCCCATATGCAAACATGTTGGCTTGTATTTTCACGACGAAACTAACATTTGAAATTTCCGTTTTAAAAGAGAGAATACATTCTGTTCAATGTCTTTAAATCACCAACCATTCTGTTTAGAATACCATACACACACACTATCAATATAAACATTCAAGGTTCGACAGGCGTACATAAAAAAAGGGACGAAAGATACCAGAGGGACAGTCAAACTCATAGATCGAAAACAAACTGAAAACGTCATGGCAAAAAATAAAAAGACAAACAGACAAATAATAGTACAGATGACACAACATAGAAAACCAAAAACTAAGCAACACGAACCCCACCAAAAACTGGGGGTGGTCTCATGTGCTCCGGAAGGGTAAGCAGATCCTGCTCCACATGTGGCACCCGTCGTGTTGCTCATGTTATTACAAATCCGGTAGATAGTCTAATTCGGTAAGTCACATTCGTGAAAAGGGAAGGGTATTGTAGTTACGACATAAGGAACATATCCGATATCATCTGTGAAACGGTTATTCCATAACGGTCAACCAACTCGTGATGGCGTCCGTAAAATTTACGAAGGGATGATTTCAACTTCACCATTTGGAACTCTTGATTTAATAGCTTCCTTGTGAGCAGCAATCCTCTATCAAGGAAATCATGATAGGAAACACAAGCCCGGGAATATCGTATCAATTAGGAGATATATACTCCGTATGCAGGTGCTGCTGGAATGTTGCTACATAGAAATGGAAAGTTCACAATTGGGAAGCTAAAATCAACTCTTTTGTCGTAAAGTTTTGTTTTCAACCCACCCCCATTGTCAATTTCTAGATGTAAGTCAAGATATGAGGCAAACTTAACTGTATCTGTAGTATCCTTTATCTCTAGTTCGATGGGATAGATTCGTACAACTTAGTCACCAAATTTTGTATTATTTAGTGAGAGAACATCTTCTATATAGCGGAACATAGAGTTAAAGGATATTGCTTACTTCTTATCTTTCTTCCTAAGAAGTTCCTGTATGAAGTCAGCCTTATTATAATAAAGAAACAAGTCGGCAAGAAGAGGGGCACAATTGGTTCCTTCTTGGAGTTCCGACAGTCTGTGTAAAAACACGTCCTCCAAACGTAACAAATATGTTGTCAATCAAGAAATCAAGCATCTTGATAATGTCAGTTTCAGAGAATTTTTTGTTTGAATCAGAGTGATTCTTTACAAAGTAGGATTTATCCCTCCCCAAGACAAGATACTTGTATCTACGTTCGCCATTCTTTTTAATTAAACAAAGTAATACCAACTCTTTCAATTTGTCTTTTAGTTTGGAATGGGGAATACTTGTGTGAAGTGTAGAAAAGTCAAATGTTTTAATACTATTGCAAGATGATAGAGTCTTAGATTGTATGTACTCTAGAAGATCTTTGGAATTTTTTAGTATCCACATCTGATTCACGCCACTTCTAGAATAGGCAGTTTCACAATAACTTTGGAGCCCGGCTTTGATTGCTGATAAAATAGATTTTAATAATTTAGAAAGAGATTTCGTGGAGCACTTGGAAGACCCAGCAATATATACCGTTGTTTGTAAGGACACTTATGTAGTTATGTGTTTATGTACCAAGTCAGGAATATGACAGTTGTTATCCATTCGTTTGATGTGTTTGAGCGTTTGATTTTGCAATTTGATTAGGATTTATATCTAGAAATTGACTATGAGGGTCGGTTGAAAACAAAACTTTACGACAAAAGAGATGATTTCAGCTTCGCAACTGTTACCTTTGCATTTTTAAACCAAGAGTTCCAAATGGTGAAGTTGAAATCATCACTTCGTAAATTTTATGGACGCCATCACGATTTGGTTGACCGTTATGGAATATCCGTTTTACAGATGATATCGGATATGTTCCTTATGTCGTAACTACAATCCCGTTCTTTTTTCACGAATGTGACTTACCGAATTAGACTATTTACCGGCTTTGTATTAACATGAGCAACACGACGGGTGCCACATTTGGAGCAGGATGTTTACCCTTCCAGAGGACCTGAGATCACCCCAGTTTTTGGTGGGGTTCGTGTTGCTGTTGTTCCCCTATCTGTGACATTTTTACCTATTGTGTCTGTTTGTTTTGTTCACACATCGTTGTCAATATAATGGAATTTGATGCGACTGTCATACAAGTGAGAGGTTTAGCTAGCTTTATAACCAGGTTTAATCCACCATTTTCTACATAAGAAAATGCCTGTACCAAGTCAGGAATATGACAGTTGTTATCCATTCTTTCGATGTGTTTGAGCTTTTGATTTTGCCATTTGATTGGGGACTTTCCTTTTTGAATTTTCCTCGGAGTTCATTATTTTTGTGATTTTACTTTTTTCTCTAAACTTCTTCCATCCGTCACTTCAATCGAAAAGTGGCACTTTCGACCTAGTCTGAAATGAAACCTTTGAAAAGATACGTCGATGTGTTGTGTAGGTTAAACACCATGTTCTTGGCTTGTTAAAGAACATTACAACAGTTTATGATCCGTAGCTTGCTGTTACGTGCAAACGTTATGCTGCTTTCCAACATGTTCTTTTTTTCAAATGCCTGTCCAAGTTACTATTCCGCTAGACTTATTTTGGACGACCTTCTATGTGTATGCATTTCTGATTTATTTTCATATATGTATTAAATACATACAGTTGGATGGTAAGATAGTACCAATCAACCTATAATCCTAGGTTGAATAATAGTTTTACTGAGAACTAAAGATTGAGTAACACGAACCTCGCCAGAAAAATGTAAATCATAATTGCAATTCAGTTGTGAATTTAAACAATACTTCTATCATGTTGACGGGTTGCAAATACATGTAATTAAATCTCAATCAGCAACATATCTCAAATTCAATAAAATGACGAAATAAGATCATATAATGTGAAACAGTATTGATATTTTACTTACACCGACGTTAATCTACTTGAAGGAATGCATATGTACTTACATGTAACAATAAAAGAAACATCAGTAGATATCATGCTGCTAACACGATTACTAATATTGCATCTATATGACCCAGTTTGGTTCCTATTGATGGCAGGAAAACTTAAGTTATCGTAGGAAACAAATTCGCCGGTATGTATGGTCCATGTTCCCACACAATGTGGTTGACAGGTTGCAGTGCATGAAATACTAGGTTGTAAAGATTCGTTTTCCTTTATTGTATATTTCGTTTTGTTTGGAGAGAGTACAACTGAAGATGGTCCGACTGAATAAAATTTAAAAAATATGATTAAATCTGTCCAATTAAAGGAGCGTTGATAAGGCCAATGATGTTGCTGTAAGAAATATTCTATAAAGTACAGCAATCGAGATTAAGTGTAGGATGCTTTAAATGTTATCAGAAGGTTAATATCTTTGAGCTTGCTTTCAGTAACATTCTTAAATACGGTATGGTATGTGATTGGTTTTCAGCACTGTGTTACCAAGTGTATCGGGGACTCAGTAGCTGAACGGTCTAAGTTAATTGTATACTGCATCACTTGTTCTTCAACACCGAGGTTGTGAGTTCGAACACCGAACTTGGCAGGTGCGTTCGACCTCAATCTTAATTTACAAGGATTGTCAGTTTTCTTGCCGATGGTCGTTGGGTTTCTCAAGGCACTCCAGCTTCCTCCATCGAAATACAATGACCGCCACGACATAGCCAATACAAGGGGTGTCAAACACCAACAATCAATCATCAATTAACCATTTTCCGGTAATGGGTGTTATTGTATTTCCTTTATGTGCTATTTATTAATTTTCTGATCGAGATTGAGAGTGAAGCGGGGAGTGAAGAGGGTTGAAATCTAAACAAAAATGGTTTAACACGCAACATTTAGACGTGCCTGTCCTAAGTAAGGAACATCGTCTATAGAAAATTTATTCGACGGAAAACCTTCTAGCTTTATCGATTTCATTTTCTATTTTTTTAATGACATTCCAACTCTTTCGTTATGCCCATGTGTGTAGTGATGTCATAGATTTTAACGAACGTAATCAATGCATCACTGGTAAATTATTAAGTCAGGGATTTCGTTACCATAAATTACTCAAAACTAAATTCTTTCATAGATACAAAGATTTGGTCAGTAAAATTGGCTGTACCTGTAGAACACTTGTTAAAAACGGTATTGTACTAGAAGTGCAGAAATCACTTTGTGATCCGAGTAAATACATTGAACCTTTAAACAAAATTATTGGTAAAGGTTATCTTATCAATGTTGTAATTAGATCTTTGAATATTGTTTTCAATGGCACAAATATCGATTTTGTCATCAACAAATTAAAACATAACTAAATTTATATTCTTTTCAAATGTTGTTTTTTGGGATGTTTAAATACACATCCATGTTCATTTTCTATATAGAAATTACTTTATTTATAAATATAACATGCATACATATTTATTAAAAGGTTAAATCCTTACTATCCTACTGCCTGTCGATACTTGTATTTTGGCATTGCACAAGTCATGTCTTCTTTGACTGTCCATGACGTTAAACACTAAATCCCTGGGATGTGTTTTAATTGATTTTAGTCTCTGATGCATAATTTTTATTATTAATTGTTTTTGGCTTTTAACTAGCTTTCAGTAACTGCGAGTACTCTGAAATCGTACTTTCGTGCTAATTTGACCTGTTGATACAATTTCTAATGCATTTTTGATATTTATGTTTTCTTATTTTGTGTTATATCTCATCTCACCATTTTTTAACATATACCACCTTTGATAAGTATTAAGTATGACGAGAAATTTTCACTTCTGTTCTCGTACTATAAACAACAAATTTATTTATTTTGTAAAAAAATATTTCCGTTCCCCATGTACTCCTTACAACTGAATTATTTTTATTTACCTGTGTACCTTATTTTATTTAACGGAATTTTGTCCAAGGTTGTAGTTGTCTTTCTGATTTTGTTTTGCATCTCACTCCCACTTTTTTTTTTATTAATTTTGTATTTACATTGTGTCATAGATCAAATTTATTCGTTCAGTGTATGTTTACATGTTTTTGTTAATATGTCTTTTGATTGAATTAAGCCATTTCAATTGATATTTTATAGTGTGTCTTTCTATGTTGTGATGTTACAATATTATTTCAGGCTAGGGTTAAGGTTGGCGCCTGTTAAAACGTTTAAACCCACTGCGTTTGTTTGCACCTGTCCTAAGTCAGGAAACTGTTGTTCAGTGGTTGTCGTTTGTTAATGTGGTTCCTAATTGTTTCTCGTTTCTCCTTTTTTATATAGATTAGACCGTTGGTTTTCCTGTTTGATTGGTTTTACACTTGTCATTTTAGGGGCCTTTATAGCTTGCTGTTCGGTGTAAGCCAAGGCTTCGTGTTAAAGGCCGTACTTTGCCCTATAATGGTTTACTTTTTACAAATTGTGACTTGGATGGAGAGTTGTCTCATTAGCACTCATACCCCATCTTCTTATATCTAATTACCTGTTTATGACACTTTAAATAGTGCAATTTGTAGATATAACTTACTGACAAACCTCGTCTTTTTTTGGGAAGATACTTAATACTCATAGTTCATAGATATTTTGTTTTGTTTTCCTACTGGTTCCTTTAAAGATGTTTCATAGCATGGAGGCACAACTAAGCAATTTTATCAGTATCAGTAGGATAGCAGTCAAAATAAATTCTCAGGAAGATTAATTATAAATGGATGGATAATTGAGTATTTTAGTGTTACTGTTTCTTAGAAATTGGAGTCACATCAAAGTTGAAATATGACGCACAATCCTATGTGTTGACTTTTACAAATACAAATTGCATGTGTACTGTCCATTACATTGTATGTTTTTTTTTTATATTAAACTTCATAGAAAAAGTGGCACAGTTTTAGATGTAAAGGAAGTTCTTGGAAAATGCCTTGCATATTTTACATAACTGTAACATTACCTTGATCACATAGAATATTGCTTTATGAGTAGTTCGCCAGATAATTTATCGGTCTTTTTTCATTTTTGTTAAACATTGATAGGTACTGAGGAAATATTAAAAAAGTCACTCCACAATGGTAGGTTAAAAAAAATAGCTACTTCTTTTACAGACATACATCATCACTTACTTTTTTGGTATAAGGTATTAAAATGAAGGTAGTACTGGTTTCTGGTGGAAACATTCCTTTTATTAATTTCAGGAGGTATAGCGTTGGTGTTGGCATTCTGGTTGGGCTGGAGGGCAGCCCAGAAACCCTACTGCTGGGTTAAAACTTTTAATTAACAAAACCATTAAATATATTACTTATACTCACAATTTACTATTATTTTTACGTCAGTTGACAATATACTGCTGACAGCATTAGTTGCATTGCATTTATATATCCCGTCTTGACTTCTTTTGATGTTCTGTAAGCTTAACTCGTTAGACGAGAAAATTTGTCCCTTTGGTCCTATCCAATTCCTTATACATATTGGCTTACATTCCGCAGAGCAGTTTATATTAGGAACATGTTCTCCTTCATTTAAGGTGTATTCTGTGGTATTTGGAGAAAGTGTTACTTTTTCTGGTCCATCTGAAATTATTGTTTATTGTATCATCATAGACAAAAAAAAACCGTTTAAATACATGTATTTTGTTATACTGACTTCAGCAAAGGAGGCTTTATCTTTAGATGATTAATTTTTGTTCATTTCTTCGTTGAAAACTGTTACTTTTTATTGAATAAGCTATCTTCAAAATATTTGTATCTATGCTTTGTCAGAATATACTTAAAAGACATATTAGGTGGCAAATGTATAACCATGGTTATAATCAGGTTTCTAAAACGAGAAACATAAAAATATAAAACAGGCTTTCTGATTGACAAAAACTTACGAATCAAGTTTGAACCCTAACGCTTCGCACCACGCTCATCACGATGCATAACTATAAGTTTCATACGATATACACGCCATCTTCAAATAATCACACAACACAAATAAGTTCTGATTGGTATCCTGGTGATATTGCTTAAATTCTATTGATTCGGATGGATTATAAAATTGAGAATGCCTGGTTGAAAGGAGAAGAAGAAATTATACACGAAAATGTTAACATTATGGGTATTCGAAACCCGATCTATAAATTATATTGGTATGCTATATATGATCGTGGGGTTATAAACAATGTTAGATAGGCACACCATGAGAAAGGGATCTCTTCCTATATAAAGGTAAGCACAGACGTGCCGCTAGTATGGGTAACTTTTTTCTTCAAATGTTAAATATTTCAATTGGGTGCAATATCACGGAGATAATATAACAATGGGTTTATATTTATTAGTCATAAATATCATTATCGTCGATTGAGTTGTCTATATCAATTTGTACTTCAGTTTTGAATTCTTGTGACTTATTATCAATGATAACTTAATGAATACATACAAAGAACACTGATGGTTACATCAGCGGATACCATATTGCTCACGACATTACTAGCATTACATTGATATGTCCCCGCTTGGTTCTTCTGGATCTCCTTCAAACTTAAAATGTTATTTGAATCCACTTGCCCATTTGGTCTTATCCACATTAAATTACAATCTGGTTGACAGTCTGCTGTACACGTGATATCCGGGACGTGACTATCTTCATTTAACGTGTAAGATGTTTCATTTGGAGACAGAACCACTTGGTTAGGTCCATCTATAAAAATTGAAATGTTTCAGAAAAAAACAAAACACATACTCATAGTTTTTTTCTTATTGATGTGGAGAAGTTATTATTATTTTATCTTAGGTATTGCAGATAACTTAAACTAATTTAATGTGTTTTACTGGCATCTTTTAGTCTACAGTACAAGGTTTAATTCAGTAAAATAGTATAAACCTGGCTATTATCTATGGTAAAAAATGTAGAGAAGGTACAACACACACTTTTTATATTTCCAGGGGCTTACGAGGGATCGATTTTTGATGAGTGCTCTAAACATGTTTTTAGTTTCATGAATATGTGCTCAAGATAAGAACCGTGCTTTTTTAAAAAAATGTAAAGAGTTTGTATTTATTACAAATGTTATGTGGACTGAATAAGAGAAATGCTATACTCTTCATTTGTACAATCCACTATTATTATTGTTTTGCTTTACTTGATTGTCCATTATTTTTTCAACGGAAATTGATAATACAATGCATCTCTTCTAGTAAGCAATGTAATAGGCACAGTTATTTTTATTTCTTTTACCTTAAGAAAAAAAAAAACGTGCTTAACTTTGTGTTTTTAAGTTTTAAGTTTATGTACAGCAATCAGCAAATACTTTGTGACAAGCTCAAATGGTTTTTCTTTGATTTGTGTGAATTCTAAACTCCACACCTGGTGCATTTAGACAATTATGGGATGCAAAATAGTAAATTCAAGACTGTACGAGTTTCTATAATTAATAACACAAACTGCAACGAGTACTTTTTTCATGTAGATCAGCATATACAGTTGTAATAGAACGAATGTAGATGCATGTAGCGAACACTATTAAACCTCACTTTTAGGGAATACAAAAAGTATAGAAAAAAGAAAAACATACATATACCAGATCTGGGTAATTCTAATACGGTAAAAACACAAAAGAATTGAAAATATTACACATACCACAACAAATTTCAACTGAAACCTATGATTTTCAAACACCAAACACCTTTAATCATTCAACAAAACAATAATCTGGCATACACTGCTCGCTTTCTGCAATTTTTGTAGATTCAGTTTGAAAAAGATGAAAATTTCGCATTTTCATATTTTCCAGCCATTCTCAAATGTGGCAATTTGTATCCTTAAGAAATAAAAAAAAGTATATCTTGACTTAAAACGATTCAGTTTTCGTGCACGCAATAATGTATTTGGAATCTTATGAACTCCAGAGATTTATTATTTTCTTTTACAAAATATTATGGCAATGGGAAATATTATTCCTACTCCTTGAAGATTTTACAAAAAACATACAAATTTGACAAATGAAGAGTTAAAATCAGATATCAAGACACTGCTTTGGTTTAAATTAACTGCATCCGTATTAAACACGTATATCATTTCTACTCGTGATTGATGAACGCTATTTTCGTAGACACAAATTTAGAACAAAAACACGTTTTTTTTATTTATCAGATGATTTCAATTTTTGTCATTTTCCCCTCCCTGAAATAAAAATGTTCATGTAAACTCAAAAGCTGTTGACTTGTTTTCAGTTAGTGGAAAAAAGTATTTGACATGCTCTGAACCCTAGAGATCCAACAATGTATAAGTTTTCCTAATACCTGATTAAAAACCCACAACTGATCAACAATTTTACACTAATTTCGTTTACTGCTTTCAAATTATTGTTCTTTGCAATTTATATAGTTCGAAGCAATTTCTGAAGCTAATGACTTTAAAAAATGGACAAGTTTATGAAACCGAAAAGGTCCAGTTTTAGTTAGCATTTGAATAAAATGACGTTTGGCAATATGTAAGGCTTTGGATATAAGTATTTTATATAAATGCATGCAAGATAATTGACCAAATGATTGTTTAATTGTGTAAATTGAAGCTTTGTATTATATTTTTGCTCAAAATTTCGCGGGTAGGGGTGCTTTGTTTGCTTTTCAATTTCAGTTTGTAAGAGAAAACAATTAATATGCAAGACGTAAAACATTGTAAGATTTATAAAAGCCCAAAGCTGATGAGTAATAACACATTTTGTTTTATTCAGGATGGATATTGATGACATTTCTGAATCAATCAGAAAAGTCTGCATATCCAAAATTATCCATTTTTTAAAAATGTCTGAATACAAAAATATCTTTGAACGATCTAGGTTGCATGAAACATATGTACTTAGTATATATATATTTCTTTTTGAACCAATTCATTGTTTCCTTGGGTGTATTAAGCCGTTATTCGATAGATTTTATTCTTGGTTGTTCAAATTTAGCATGAGGAAGGGGTAATATTTTCCATTTCTTATAAGATTTCATATAATCAGATAAGAGCTGTTCGAGTTCATAAAATTGTTTTTTCCTTTATCTGGCAAGGCATATAGTTCTAGATATAACATACATATTATAAAATAAAAAAGGATAAAGTTGACAGAATTTAGTGAAATCTGAAAATCCCCAAATTTTCCCTTTTCTTCTAATCTTATCTAAACAAATTATATTTTTGTAATCAAATTGTAATATATCTGATATTGATATATCTGTTTTACAAATTTACTACCAATGTTTGCCAAATTATACTTCGGCTCAAGTATTTAATTTGTTTATTTATAAATATTCACAGTTTCAAGTTGAAATTTTTGGGAAGTAATAATGGTAGCATTCATCCAATTCAAACTACCAATGTCTTGTGTTTATCTTAAAGCTTAAACATTCTTTTTTATTAATTGAGATCAACCTAACTTTAACAAAAGCAGAAAGGTCATAAAATGTGAAAAGAAGGTACAATTATGACAAATCTGAAAATCATGCCTGAAAAATACCACCAAATATTTCCACTTTCATAATGTTTATTATAAAATATCAAATAATCAATTGTTTATTATATATTTGTTGAAAGTAATTAAAAGGAACTTCTTTGGGGCACTTTTGCCAATTTTTATTGGGTAGTGTTATACATTTCAATAATGAGAAGACTTAAGAAAATCCTGATAACATCTAAAACGCGTATATCCTAGGCTTTCATTTGACACCATACTAGAATATGGACTGAACTCTTGCAGAATGGTAGACTTCATGAAGTGTATGGTGTTGTATTCCCTTAGTCAGTCATCTTTAATTTGGTGGCCAATTGGATTTTTTTTAAAAACTCACGTCATAATTAATAACAAAACAATTTACGAAATACTACAGGCTCCTGATTTGGGACAGGCACGTGTAGAATGTGGCGGGGTTAAACATGTTTGAAGGCGCCAAACCATCCCCTAACCTAGAACAGTGTCATATGAACTATCGAATGAATAGATATATGCTCTCTTTCTCGATTTTATATACAACATGGCCTCTTTCTGTTGATTTATTTTTGTTTGTTCGGGAAAATACTTTTATATTTTATTTCAAAATTCTATCTCATAGATTTCTTTATATTCACAAAAATGTGTTTTTTTTTCATGAACAATCTAAGCAAATCTGGGCATTTTTGCACCACTTGTAGCTTGAAAAATTGCAAGGTGACCCATACTTTATAATATATATTTGAAAAACAAACCTAGTAAAATCTTCATTTTGGCAAATTATAAGAAAATTCTATTTGAGGAAATATGTAACGATGATCCACCTTAAACAGCTAAAAAGACTAATTATTTAGAAATTGTATTGTTTTATTACTAGTATTTCATGTGTTAAAAAACAATTAATGTGAGAAAGAATGATGCTATGGACCTCTAGTATCCAGTCATACATACAATTTAAAACTGTATTTTGTGACATAATATGTATGAACAATAAAACCTTTCGATATGTCATCCGCCGGGCAACTTAACGATAAAGATCTCAGTGATGAATTCGCTACATACAAATGCAGATGATTATATTTGGACTAGTGCGGGTGTACTCACATAGCCGATTTGACATATAACCATACAAAGAAGAATTACACAAACTATATAGATAGACTTGTTATATTGATTAATTATTACACAATAATCGAAGGATATTACAAATTCTTGTCGTTAATATGCAATTTCGTTGTAGGTCAACAAAACAACGTCATCCCACAGTCTCATTGAAATGTATCTACCCCGCTATCAGTTTCATTCATATTAATACACAATTTCAAAATACCATAACATTCTCTAATAGTTAAATGAACTTACAGTTGATAATGAGAACAATATGTCCTTTTGATGAACCCATTGTATTCGTAGCTTCACATTGATATGTACCATTCTCTATCCGTGCTGCATTATTGATGAGCAACTCACTGGAGTTTATGATATAAGCAGGTCCAACCCATCGGAAAGTGCACGGAGGACCACAAGAAGCATTACATATTAACGGACCGAAACTGCCGCCTTCATTTATACTGTAGATCATATCATTAAGATGAACATTTGATGGAATAGCTATAAAAATATAGTGTGAACCATATGAATTTAATTTTATTACGAACGTATTAACAAATGAGATGGCAAACTCTTTCTTATAAATGTGAGTTGTAAATTCTATGGCATTCGGTCTCTGGTGGAGAGTTGTTTTTATTGGCAATTATACCACATCTTATTTTTATATGATAATGAAACAGTAATGTATGATGTACTGATTCATGAAAAATCTATTGACTTACACAACAAAATCCCAATCGATTGAATTCCTCTGATCATCAGTTATTTTTCAGAATAGACAGACGGACATTCAAACTCATAAGTCCAAAATAAACTAACAACGCCTTGGCTAAAAAAGAAAAAAAGACCAACAGACAAACAATAGTACACAAAACACAACATAGAAAACTAAAGACTGAGCAACAAGAACCCCACCAAAAAGTGTGGGTGGTCGCTGGTGTTCCGGAAGGGTAAGCAGATCCCGCTTCACATGTGGCACCCGTCGTGTGGCTCATGTTAGTACACACATTCTTTTGAAAGTATCAATAACTTCATCATAGATACTGGGCTTAAACTATTGTACGCCAGAAGCACGTTTCGTCTACAAAAGAACTTTTAAAGACACTTGAATAAAACACGTTTAAAAGACCACATGAAGCACGAAGTTGAAGAACATTGAGGACCACAATTTTAAATCAATCGATACAAAATGATAAGGCTCATCTACACTCCGTATGACATCGTAATTTTACACTCACATGTGCTTTTAGAAGAACAGTTGTGGTTTCAGTATTGGATTTACCTATTTCAAAGTTTATAAATAATATGTTAGCTATTTCGCTTTAAAATAAAAATAATGAGATGTAGTATGATTGCAAATTAATAATTTTAATATTGAGAACATTGAAGACATGATTAAGCATAAAACAGAGAGCATAAAACCGAATTTGGCATACTTGGCTAAATGTTCGGTTTTGAACGTTTGAATTTAGGAAAGCAATTCGGATGCATCGCATTTATAAAGAATAGTTTACACTATCATGAATCAGTTGGATTTTTTTGCTCACTAGTATAACAGTAAACCCCATACCGCATAGCAAGCTATGAACATTTCAGACTTGACACATCTAAAACAAATCAAATGAGAAAACTAACGGCCTGATATATGTACACCAAACGACAACCACTGAATAACAGGGGTTTTGGCACACACAGAATGTGGCGGGGTTAAACATGTTTCCCTGTGCCAAACTTTCGCCGGACCAGGGATATTGGTGCAATAGCAAAACAATAGAACAAAGTATAAAAACCATTTGAAAAAGGCTTGACTCATCATATCGACACAAAACCCGCTAAAACCAAAAAATAGAAGGATTTCAGACACAAAGTACAGATCTTAGTGTATTTGCAGGTGTTGAGATAGAGACAAAACTAGTAATAAATTCTTAAATATTAATCAGTGTTCATCAAATACAGATAGTGTAAGGACGTCATTAAAAGTCAGAAAAAAAATGATCATATATGCAGTTATTTCTTGGAAAAAATTACGACGCCATAAAGAGTTGGTTGAATTTTATGAAATATCTGTTATATAGATATTTAATATTTGTAGCAGTGCGAAACGCTTTCTCCATTCAAATATACCTTCTCTGTTGTAATAACGCATAAGAAAGGTATACAACTTGACCCACATATGTCATGTTTGGGGTACTGTTAAATGTTAATGCTTTTATAATTACATGTAGCCTGAAAATATTAAATACACGAAATCAAATAGTTTTGTTTTATACGTTTTTTCAGACAAATTAAGGTAATGTTTGCATGATACCTGGATTTTTTTCTTAGTGATATTATACCGATATGATATATCAAATTTGTTCAGGGAGGAATACCCGATCATTTGATGAACAAAAAAATTGAATATCGCCCGTCCCGTTTTTTTGTGTGAAAAGCTCAAAATTGCGATTTTTGACTTTTTTAGGGAAAATTTTATTTGAACTCTTCTTAAAAAATAATGTATGCAAGTGACAATAAAAAAATAAAACTGAAAAAAACATGTATAAATAATTGTGGTCCATTTATAAATGATAAATTTTAATTCAAAAGTCCATAAAAAAGTACTAAAAAACAAGATTTTTTGAGTTAAAATAAAATAATTGGCATGGCAACAAAAAGCCAAAAATATCCCGTTTCTGGGTCCACCGTTTTTGTAAAAAACTGAGAACTTAAAGATTTAACTATTGTCATTATAATGAGCTTACAAAATTGATATGTCCCTGAACTCGTTTTCAAGGAAATGGGCGTTATATATTCATCATGTCATCTCTGTAAAACGCAAAAAATTTTAGGATCTGCAATGAAGATTTCACATTGAAAATCATCTTTGATAGCATCTTTTTTCAAAGAATCATTTTGTCTTGTAACACTTTGGGATTGATCATAACCAATGAGAGGAAATAGTGATTAACTTACCTTTTATGCCCACATCTATCAGTCGGAAGGGGAGGTGTTTAACTTTGGTCATACTTGTGTATTACATGTACAAGTCTCTGATTTTGAAAGAAACACTTATTTTCTTTCAGTGCTTCAAACTGTACTATTTTGAATCTTAGGATAACATTCTGATTGCCATTAAAAGTAATGAAAATTTCTTTTTTGCCCTCTGTTTGGTAAATTGTTTGTATGCAGCAATTGGATGAAAAGACATCATTTTGACTATTAAAGTCATGTACAGCAGCCGTGTTTATTCCATTCATTTCAATCTGGACACCAACAAATTGTATACAAATATTTATGACTAAGCAGGAAAAAGCTCTACAGGAGAAAGAGGGATTACTGGTATGATTTGTCCAATTGTTACACCATGTTCAAATTTTGAGTCTTTGACCAAACAAACAAACTCCATCCTCCTATACACGAGGAAAGACGAAACAGAAGGGAACATAAATGACCAGCTGTTACAGTATATGTATTGTTCATATATAAAATAAGTAATGTGGTTATGTAGACCTGTAATATGAAAATCTTTTCACATACTTTAATAAATTTAAATCAGTTCAATGAAGTCCCTTAAGGAATAACAGTACTGTAGTCGAAGAGTTGCCACCATCAGTTGGCAATTTGATGGTCGCAAATGCAGTTTTACTGTCGAAGCGTACAAAATTGACGGTGGCAACTCTTTAACTACAGTATTGTTATTCCGATTCGATTGCATTTCAAAATAAAATAATACGTTAGAGCTTGAAAAAAATGTATAAATTTGAAATAAATAAAATTCAGCGAAATTTCATAAATGATTTTAGCGTAAAGACGTCATGGCTAAACGTGACGTCATACAAATAAAAACTTACAAACTGAAGGTTATAACGTTACTTCTACGATTCAAATTTGGATAAAATCACATCAAAATGGCGATTTTGAGGTAGGTGTTGTTTTATTTTCGATAATATTGTAATAATCGACCATTTTTTGATCCAAGCAATTCAAAATGGCAGGTCCCTCCTTAGTTTAATTAGTTGAATTCGAGTTACCTTCCTGTGTACGCAAACATTACCTTAATCAAATATAACACACTTGACTGTAAAAAAGTAAACCCGACGTTCTGTTCGCGATATGATTATTGCCCAATTTTTCATTCTCTTTCCCGAAACACTGTTACTTAAACGAAGATGCAAGGTAATGATTTTAAAAGATTATTCTTTTATTGTTCCATTGATTTTTTTTCATTAGAATTAATGCTTATGGATCGTCAGTATTGAAAAGTATTTGCAACAACCATAGTCAGCTATTTTGTGAAAATTTGTCTCTGTTTGAAAGTTTCAAATATCTCTCAGCTCAATGCAATAATATGAGTACAAATAATTATTCGTTCCCTATTGTTAATGTTCCAGTTTTGAACGGTAATGTTCCTTTGACACCATCTTATATGTGTTTATATAACCCAACTTGTTCGCTATTCCCGTGTCTGTTGTGATGTTTTGGATTTCAATGAAGGTAATCTATTTATTACTGGTGAACTATTAAGTCAGGATTTCATTACCACAAATCACTTAAAACTTTTACTAAATTATTCCATAGATATAAAGATTAGGTTTGGAAGTTAAGTTGTAACTGCACCTCCTAATTTTTAAAGAGATGTTGTTTATCGAGTCAGGAAATTTAGATACGATCTGGGTAAACATATCGATCCTTAAAATAAACTAATTCTAATAGGTTACCAATACAACACTATAATTAGGTCTTGAGTATTGTTTTTATTGGTAATTTTATTGATTTTGTTATCAGTAAATTATATTCAACTAAATACTATGTATTATTTTTATATACATAGACACATCCATGGCTCTGCAATCTGTCGATACCTGTATCTAGTCAATGCACTAGGTCATGTTTTTCTCTTACTGTTAATGACGTCTTTATACTAAATCCATTGGATGTTGGATGTGTACTGATTGATATTTTAGTGTAAGATGCATTATATTTTTATTAGTTGTTATTGGCTTTAAACTAGCTGTCAGTAACTGCGAGTACTCTCAGATCTGTTTAGGGGATGTAAATGTATCAGTACCCTGCCACGACCACTCTATGTTTCTGTTAGATGTATTTCTGCTTTGTATTCATCTGATGAGTTCAGCCTTTTCAACTGATTTTTATAGTTTTTTCTTATGTTGTACTGTGACATAAGTGTCCCAGGTAAGGAGGAGGATTGTCGCCTTCAAACTAGTTTGACCCCGCCATATTCTGTATGTGCCTGTCTCAAGTCAGGAGCCTGTAATTCAGTTGTAGTTGTTTGTTGCTGTATGTCATATTTGT